GATGCAGCGCCCAGCAAGGTGATGAAGATGGTGTCTACCATAGCCAGGTAAGTGCCTCGCCACTCTCCTCCTTCGCCCCCTTCTTCCTCCGCCTCAAGCTGGACTGCTCGCCATAGCCAGGGGAGCTCCAACTGCCCTTCACCACCAAGCAGCGCTGTACCAGTCCAGCGCTGCGCTCCAGTAGCATGTCGCCAATCCTTGCACACCGCAAATGAGGAAGAGCTCTTTGCTCTTCCTGAAGATATAGCGGCCTACCGGCCTCCTGGGCGGTGACTTCCTAGGCCGAGCGGCCTCCCAGCAACCGGTACCTTCTCCCTTCCGGAGGGAAACATCATTGCAGGCTCTGCTATCCTCCGTACAGGCCCTAGACCCGGGCTACTTGGACTGGTACCGGCCTACCGCTATCCTACCGCTACTGGGCCTCTAAAAATGCCAACTTTTTGTCTTCTTCTGCTCGGCCTCCAGTACCCGACACTCCTACCACTTCTTGAGTGGTACCGGCCTACCTGCTACTTGAGTGTTTTCCCCCGCCGTTCTAAGTGTCGCGGGCCTACCCTCGCTACTTGAGTGTTTTCCCCCCTGCAACCCTCAAAGTCACGCCCACAGGTAAGTACCGGCCCTGCAGGGCCCTTCAACCAACAAGTACCCTTGCGGGTCACACACACACTCAACCGACAAACAATCAGACAGGCATGCAAACCAGCAGGCACGCACACACACAGACATGGAAATCACAGCAGAATGGAATTTCAGCAAGGCATTCATTCAAGCGGCAAATCCCATAAATCAGCAGTGTTCTCAGTCTGTGTTTTTGGCGGGTCATTACACTACCCCCCTCTCAAGAGCAAGGTCCCTTCGAGCGAGTAACTCATTCAGAGTTGGCACAGAATGCATCGTAGTAGTAAATCAGAAAGAGAGAATTAGTAAGTCCGTGAGGAGTCATTTCTGCAACAAATTTAGCAGTCTGTCCCTCAGCGGTCTGTCGTTCATAAGCGTTCACAACACGGGGAGCACTCTTTAGCAGCTCTTTTCGGTCGATCCAGAAGAATTCAGTCAACGGGTGATAGAGGAAGTGAACCTTGTACTGTCTGTTCCTCCCTCTTCCCTCGTGAGAAACGATTCTGTCTATCTCATGGCCGCCGTCAATAGAGCGAGGTATCATAGGGTCTCGGAAGGGAAAAGTCTCATCATCAACGTGTGGGAACAGTTTGGATGCATGAAAGACCGGATACGTGCGCAGATGAGGAGGCACGTCAATCACATATGAAGGACCAAAATCATCCCCAATCACCTTCAGAATCTGCCAAGGGCCATAGTACAATGGAAGAAGCTTTCGTGAGACGCCCTCTTCATCAGAAAACTCAGACATTTTGACCCAAACGTAATCCCCTACTTTGAAGTTTGCTTCCTTGCGCAACTTGTTAGCATGTTTGATCATGGCATGCTGACGCTTGTTCATGGCTGCGATAACAACTTTAAGCAAGCGTGCGTACTTGGCATTGTAGCCAGGCATGCCGGGCATCAGACCAGGTGACCGTTCGGGGTACAGATAGGAGAGGGGATTACGCATCGGCCATCCGTATTGCAACTGGTTTGGTGTCACACCAGTTGCGGAGTGAATGAAATTGTTGTACAGTCCCTTTACTTTGTGCAACTCCTTGTCCCACGTGTTCTGATCTGGCACAATCAATGCGCGAAGTAGTTGGATGACAGTCTGGTTGATCTCCTCAGCCAGTCCATTGGCTTCGGGGTGTCGACTAGAAGTCTTGTTGAGTTTAATGTCGTAGATCTGAGAAGTGAAGTCCTTCCAATCTTTACTAATGAATCGGGTGTCCCGATCACTCACAATGGTTTTCGGTTGGCCAAACTGCAGAATATACTGCTGATGGAACTCTTCGATGACAAGCTCGGTTGGGGCATGGGGAGGGAAAGGAATCAAGTTCAGAAATTTGGAGAAACGGTCCACGATGACCATGACTTGTGAATTCCCTGCCTCACTCACCTGTCCCATGTCCGTGAAGTCGATGGAAATCGACTCACCGGGTCCATCAGGAATGGGGAGGGGTCTCAGCAAGCCATAAGGCTTATGCCTGTGGACTTTGATTCTTTGACATACTTGACATTCAACAATAAATTTATGAGCAGATCCTTTCATCCCTGGCCAATCAAACTGTCGCAGAAGACTCCCATAAGTCTTCTCAAAGCCGAAATGTCCACTCCGACCATGTGCCAAATCCAAGAAATGAGTTCGGAGAGGCGCATGGTTGGGTACACACAAGCGATCAAACTTCCCATACCGGCGAAATACAAGACCCTCGCATGCATGAAAATCAGGCTGACTGTTAGGGTCAGCCTTGACCTGCTCAAGGATGGGACTAAGGTTCGGATCCTTGGCGGTGTGTTCGACCAGATCCTCCTTCGGCTTCCTTCGGAGGTCATACGAACCCACAAGGCAAGTCAAAAGCTCAGGATGGCGTGATAGGGCGTCAGCAACACGGTTATAACAGCCTTTCTTGTGTTTCAACTCAAAACTATAGACATCAATGTCATGCAACCAGCGGGTCAGTGTAGGAGAGAGTTCAGTTTGTGTGTGAATCCACTGCAAGGTCTGATGATCTGAGTAGACCTTGAAGTGACGATCCAAGAGGTAGTGCTTCCAATGTGCGAGCGCCTCGCGCACGGCGTAGAGCTCACGCATGTATGTGGAGGTAGCTACCTTGTGGCTGGGCATGCGTTTGCTGTAATACTCGAGCGGACGCAGACCATCACCATCATCTTGTTGCAGCACTGCACCAATCCCAAACTGGCTCGTGTCCGTAGTGACTACGAATGTGAGGTTGGGATCCGCAATGTGGAGCACAGGATGACTCACCAATGCCTCTTTCAAGGCTTGGAACGCAGTCTCACATTTCTCACACCACGCATAAGCAACATTCTTACTTGTTAGTCTCGAGAGTGGGTGAGCAATGACATAAAATTTAGGCACAAACTTTCGGTAATATGAGGCCAAACTAAGAAAAGAACGCAGTTCGCGTACGTTTGCTGGTTGAGGCCAGTTTCGTATGACCTCAACCTTGGTTGCCTCCGACTCAAGGCCGTTTGCAGACAACCGGTGCCCAAGATAGATGACACTGTCCCTTCCAAACTCAGATTTCTCTAAGTTGAGGTGCAACTGTGCCTCCTTGAGGACTTGCAAGACCTCCTCAAGGTGCTTGACGTGCTCTTCCATGGACTTGCTGAAAATCATGATATCGTCAAGGTACACAACCACAAACCTGTTGAGCTGATGGCGAAGTACCTTGTCCATGAGGCACTGAAATGTGGCTGGCGCATTCGTAAGACCGAAGGGCATAACGATGAATTCGTACAGCCCATCGCGTGTTTTGAATGCAGTTTTGTGCTGGTCACTCGGATCAACTTCAATCTGGTGGTAGCCAGACTTGAGGTCGATCTTGGAGAAGACCTTGCACCCACCTGCMRCATCTAGCARATCATCTATRYGARGCAARGGATACGCGTTCTTTCGGGTGATACGGTTTAGGCCACGATAGTCAATGCACATCCGGAGTTTGCCTCCTTTCTTYGGCACAAACAGGACAGGTGCACCGAACTCAGACTCACTAGGCCTAATCCATCCACGGTCGATCATGTCATCAATCTGCCTCCTCAACTCCTCCAACTCGCCTTGTCCCATACGGTAGACACAACCCTTTGGAGGAACACTCCCTTCTATTATCTCGATCTTATGTTTGCCCGGACGCTCGGGAACTCCACGAGGTTCGGCCAAAACTTCAGGGAATTGATCTAATAGCTGGCGAATGTTTGTTGGGACTTCCGGTGGAGGATCATCCTCATCAGGAGAAATAAAATTAGACTGAGAATTTACAACAATGACAATCGGATTAGAAGTAGAGGGATTATTTACAGTAGAAGTAGATGGATTAGAAGTAGAGGTGGTAGAAGTAGAGTTACTTACCGAGGTAGAAAATGCAGCAAAAGTAGAAGGCACATGGAGAGGTTTTACAAGAGCTATATGTACATGCTCAGCTTCCTTGCACCTGCGCACTGATTTGCAGAATTTCTTTGCACTTAGAAGAGTCACAGGGGACTCGCGCGTCTCATCCAATAAGACGGTACGCTCGTTCCCCTTGGCATCGCGCACCACGAACTGATTGTTTGCCCACGTGGTCCTTAGGCAATGAGCCTTTAACCAGCCCAAGCCAATGACCGCGTCGAACGGACACTTGTCCATGACATAAAAGTTGAGCTCATGTGTCAATGCGGTCCTTGTCAAAGGTGACGCGCACACCTTTGACAACATGTGTGGAGGTGACAACCTCTTGGTTGCCCACCTGGGTCTGACAAGGGTTCTGCAGTTCCAATTGCTTCATTCCCAGACCCGCCTTACGAATCCCGTTAGGAAAAAAGAAATTAGTGGTTGAACCACTATCGATCAACACGCGGATGTATCGACGGTCAATGAGCAGTTTAAAGAAGGTTAGCTCCACGCTCCCTTGAACGCGGCGTTGCTGCTTGAGCTGCAGCCAATGTTCCATGTGAGCGTGGAAGTCAACTTCCTTTGACTCCTCCCAAGGCTCGGTGTATAACATATGGGCTGCAGCAGCCTTGGATTCAACGTCGTTCCGGGCTTCAAGAGTAGGCTGTTGATCAGATTCAGGCTCATTGGAGGGGCCTGCAACTGATGTTCCAGCTTCCCTTGTTCTAGGGAGTGCTGATGACTCCTCTACACCCTTTGCCTGTTTCCCTGAAGTCTATAACAGTCCTGCACAACATGCCCAGACTTTTGATAATGCAAGCATATGCGCAGTTTAGATCTTCTTTCCCATTCCTTTTGACTGATACGGAGGGTTTCCCAAGGCTTGGTAGATGCGTCCTCCGGTTTCTCAGGGATCTTTGCATTCTTGGGGAGGTGGACAACAGTTCCCTTACCTGAACCACGGTTAGGCCCCTTGTTTGAAGTAGTCTTTCTAAAAGTATTAAGTTTTTCGTCTTCGTTTACGTTAGACTCAATGGCTGATTTGGAACAGCCCATATCGGAGTCCGGCTCCAGATCATCATCTAGAGACAGATCATCCGCGTAGGGCTGATCTTCAGCCTCCCGATGTTCATGCAGTGCAAGCTGGTTGCTGCTTCCATACCGCTTGCGTTGTGGTTTTCCACCTGCATCGGGCGCCTTCTTACGCCTGGCGAGGTCCTTGGCCTCTAGGTTGACTAGATCCGTCATGAGCTCTCGCCAAGTAGTATGGTCTTTGAGTCCTAGCAGGGAGAGGTATTCTTTAGGGGCCACTCCCATGACTACATCCGTACAAGACACGTCGGTCATACCCAGGTCTGGAGTGGTGAACAAACCAGTCAAGTGCTGTTCCAAAGCCTGCATGGAGGACCTCCATGTTTGGCCCTTGAGGGCCTCAAGCTTCAGCCTAGCCTTGAGCGCAGCATGCTTATCTTGGTACCGTGTGATGAGAAGGTCCTCAAGGGCGCGCACAGGGGTTATCTTCAGCCACTCTGTCAGGTCAATTCTTTCATAACCTGCAGCAACAGCTTGAAGCTCAATGTGATTCCGTACAGCGGGCTCAGTATTAGTGCCCATGATCATGCTTCGGTCTTCTTGCGGTGTCCGCATGACCTCAAAGTATGAACGCATGGAACTAATCCAAGAGGTGATATCCGCTTTCCCGTCGTACTTGGACTGCAAGGTGGCCGCCTGCTTGTCCACTACGAGACCGCTGTACTGAACGCCAGTAAGGACTGTGGCGTTTTGGGCTGATGTCCCTGCATTTGGGACTATGACTAGTGCAGAACTGCCAGCGCTGCCGCATGAGGAGCTGACACCTGTTCCTGCGCTTGTCACAGTTCCACTTGCTCTTGCCATGAGGACTGTGTTAGACTGAGAGACTGGGACTGCAGCAGGTCGATGATTAGGAGGGCGAGGGGCAGACAGTTGAGATTGTTTGAGGCTGATTACCTCAGCCTGCAGCTCTTGGTTCCGCTGTTCCAGTGCTGTTACAGGGGACTCAAGGTCTTCTAAGTTCCGTAGTCTAACCAAGGCTGCTACGGCAGCAGCTAGCCTCTCCTGGAACCGGTCAGCATTGGCTTCCGGGACCTGAAGGAGGGCCACCTGAGCAGCTATGCTTGTGGCTCTGGCTGCTGCCTCTGCCTCCCTTTCCCTCTGCACGACATCATCATAAAGCTTTTGGAATAATGGTTTCTCGTTCTCATCTGCTGCGTCCAGCATGGCCTGCCATTGGGCAAATGTGATGTCTGCCATGCCGGAGGAAGGGGTGTTAGCAGTTCTCTCAAGAGGGGTCCGCTCTCTTCTCACGTTTGGACGAACACTCCTCTTGCCCTTCCTCACATTCTCAAACAGAATAACTTCTCTCTCCCTTCTCTCTCTCTCCGTTGTCTATGCACGCGTCTCAATACCGGACATAGATAGTTCAAATGAAAGAAACAATCAGTAAAACACACAGAGTAGAAGGTAGAACTCCTAACCGGATCGGTGACTCATTTGGACTTAGAGAATGACACGCAGCAGAATAAAAGACTAAATAAATAAAATAAAAAATAAAACAGAAGAGAGGACTGACTTATTGAACGGGCCCGATCAGTTTAGCTGGAGATCCCCTCTTGTCTAACCTGACAGGGTACATGTACCACAGTAAATCAGTCGAAGAAAACTAACTGCAACAATGGAGATTTCGAGGCGTGCAGACGGTCGCCAAGCCAGACGCAGGGTAGTATGTGATAACAGGCGGTAAGACCAGTGAAGATCCCCTTGAAAGGAATGCCCTTGCTAGCCGTATGTCCCCCAAGTTCAGCACAACGAAGAGAAGCACTGGCGGCAACAGATTTGGGCCTGAAAGGTCCTGTCCCGTTGGGCCTGGTCCCGCTGGGTCCCGAGGGGTCCCGAGTAGGTCGTGGACCAGGACCAACGAGATAGGGGTACCAAGTCAGTCCCAAACTGCCTCTACCGTACTGAAAAGGAAAAGACAACTTTTAGCAAGAACTTACCCCTACAACCATTCAGAAATGAAACGACATTGCACCGTAGAAAGATATGTCGTTTAGAACAGATACATTATCCATCCATCCATCAGGTGAGAAAGCAATCCACATGCTCACACACACGACCAAGACCGCAGAGAAGAGGAAGAGAGCCCAGCACACCCCAACAGGCCATGAAGCACCAAGCAACCTGCCACGGGCATACCCAGGTCACACGACACTTACCTGTGAGGCCCGGCCTCCAAAGATGGATAACGACTCACCCCCCTCTCTCATCAGTCCTCCTGACCCCTAGCTACCACTACACGAAGTGTCCTAGCATGACTAAGAGGGCCTTCCTACACGCAAAGCCGGATCCCCCGTCGATGCTTGAAGACCAAAGTAGCAACTTGCAGCTCTCCGATGCAGATATGGCAGCCTCCGATCAAGTCTCCCTCTTGAGGGGAAGCCCAAAAGTCACTCAATGTCTTCTTGAAGTGCAGATTCCAGGTGCGAGTACCTCTCACTCTCTACTCCCTCTCGCTTACTCCAATCAGCCTCCTTTGTGTCTCGCCACCCCATCCATTCACTCAAGCAACCTGGTCAGGTCAAATGTCGACCCTACATGACCTAACCAGGTGGGGGCAGTATCCATATACCTCACTGCCCCACTTAACCCTAACTTCCAACCCTAATCCGAGATTAGGTTAGCCCTAACCTAACTCAAAATTAGGGTTAGGGTAACTAACACCTCTCGCCAGCAAGTAAGTCCGCTCCGATACCAATTGTTACGATCCTGGTCATTTCCCAAGTGCAAATTCACAATGAAAGACAATGCCACCCAATTGCGAAAGAAATGAAAGCACTTGCAAAGAGATAAAGGCCAGAGGAGAGAGAAAGAAGAAGAAGAAGAAGAAGAAGAAGAAGAAGAAGAAGAAGAAGATATGCACCAGCAAGACCAATGACAATTCCCCCTTCTCTCTCCACCTTCCTCCTCCTCCTTCAATCCGCCAATCTTATTCTTCTCTCAACAATAATAATAACAATGAATGGATGGACCAGAATCAATATCCGAAGTTCCCTCTTACTGCTGACTCAACTCAACAACAACAACAACAACAACAACAACAACAACAACAACAACAACCAATCCACCATAGCTATGGCTTCCCTCCAGCGCTGCGCTCCAGCAGCATGTCGCCAATCCTTGCACACCGCAAATGAGGAAGAGCAAAGAGCTCTTCCTGGAGATATAGCGGGCCTACCGGCCTCCTGGGCGGTGACTTCCTAGGCCGAGCGGCCTCCCAGCAACCGGTACCTCCTCCCTTTCGGAGGGAAACATCATTGCAGGCTCTGCTATCCTCCGTACAGGCCCTAGACCCGGGCTACTTGGACTGGTACCGGCCTACCGCTATCCTACCGCTACTGGGCCTCTAAAAATGCCAACTTTTTGTCTTCTTCTGCTCGGCCTCCAGTACCCGACACTCCTACCACTTCTTGAGTGGTACCGGCCTACCTGCTACTTGAGTGTTTTCCCCCGCTGTTCTAGGTGTCGCGGGCCTACCCCCGCTACTTGAGTGTTTCCCCCCCTGCAACCCTCAAAGTCACGCCCACAGGTAAGTACCGGCCCTCGAGGGGCCCTTCAACCAACAAGTAACCTTGCGGGTCACACACACATTCAACCGACAAGCACTCAGACAGGCATGCAAACCAGCAGGCACGCACACACACAAACATGGAAATCACAGCAGGCACGCATACACAGACATGGAAATCACAGCAGAATGCGGGAATTTCAGCAAGGCATTCATTCCAGCGGCAAATCCCAGAAATCAGCAGTGTTCTCAGTCTGTGTTTTTGGCGGGTCATTACAAAAGAAGCGAAAAAAGGTCATCAGTATTCCATCCTGTTTTTCTTGCAAGCGAAGCTGCAACAGATCATCGAGTGGATATTTATTCGGGGCAACTACGGCCATGGAAAAAAAAAACAAGTTTCAATTTTCTGCAAGGAAGATGAGCAATATCGAACTTCAGAAATCAAACAGCATCATACACATGAGACCAGATAGTCGTGACCTCGAACTAATAGCAGAATTGCATCACGAGTTTCACCAAATAAGAGCACAACAAAAGCTCATAATTGACAATGCTGGAATAGTCTCATCATCATCTACGAAGAACCAATGTTGATATCCTATCTGGCGCTCGGCACCCAGACTACAGATGGCAGATCCTATCTAGCCTACTCTATGATGCCGCTGATGACGTCAACAACTCCCCGAAGTACGAGCAGATCTCGGCCAATGCTGTACGCTTCAAGCACCAGGTATGTCTCTCGTATCACTCACAACCTCGTTCCGCAACTCACAGATGCTCATAATTGACAATGCTGGAATAGTCTCATCATCATCAACGAAGAACCAATGTTGATATCCTATATGGCGCTCGGTGCCCAGACTACAGATGGCAGATCCTATCTAGCCTACTCTACGATGCCGCTGATGACGTCAAAAGCTCCCCGAAGTACGAGCAGATCTCGGCCAATGCCGTCCGCTTCAAGCACCAGGTATGTCTCTCGTATCACTCACAACCTCGTTCCCCAACTCACAGATGCCACATGCACCCAAGAACCACCATGCGCCCCATCCAGCATACAGCAGCGCAGCTCGGCTATGGCTGCCTGCTCCTTTCAGCTTGCCCGTGAGCCTGGCCAGCGTTAGCGCAGCAGCGCTTGCGCAGCATGCAGCCAGTGCCTGAATGGCCAATGAGTAGGCAGGCCCTTCTCTATATTGAAGTGGCCTGCTGCTGCGTGTGGTAATGTGGTACTGGGCCCTGGCCCAGAAGCTTCCGGAAGGCCCCACGAGGCTGAGCCACTTTGTGTATTTGGCCCAGGGCCTGCCTCAGTTACATGCAATGAAAGGCAGCCTGGGCCTGGGCGCTTCCAACCAACCGGAGCTGCGCAACTGCCTGAATTTCCCCAGTTGCGTGGTGACCCCAAAATGGCCTGTAGGCCTCGGTCGTGCCTGCCTTCACTTAGGGCGGCCGACTGTGTGGAAATTAGTCCTTGTAGGGCATATCGAGGCCCTGTGCCTCGCATTACCTCCTCCATACTTTGATAGTCCTCTGCGAAGTTCAGTCTTCGATAATCTGGCGTTTTCCCTTCTGCAGAGACTTCTCGTAGTGAGCGACAACCTGTGGAGCGGTCTGCATCAGTTCCTCCCGTGTCAACCATCTATCCTCCTTTGGATCGGTGTGATGTTTGAACCGAACACGGTATTGCAGCTTCGGTTTTGAAGGACGTCCTCTGCCTGGCGGTCTTGGAACTGGCATCTCTCTGTGATCAACGATGTCATCGATGTCGACCTCTCCGTCCATGGTTGGAGGCATCATAGAGCGACGAGAGGGAAACTGGTCAGTTTCCTTGAATGGTACAAGCTTAGAGGTGTGAAAAACAAGGTAAGTGCGAAGGTGTCCAGGGATCCGAATAACAAATGAGGGTCCGTCTGGTTCATCCCCAACTACATCCAAAACTTCTCATAAGTACTGTGGCATAAGCTTACGGGAAACCCCGTGCTCCTGTGCCAGTTCTGAAGCCTTGACCCAGACCCTGTCCCCTATCTGAAACATAGATGGGCGGCGGTGCTTGTTCTTAGATTCGATCATCGCCGCCTGTGCTTTGTGCATGTGTTCTACTGCCTGCTGCATATGACTCTCATATCTTTAAGCGAATTCTAAAGTGCTTGGAGCAGCAGTAGGCTGGTTCTCAGGTAGCAGAAAGTCAATGGGGAGTCTGGGTTTGAATGTTAGAAGTAGGCTGTTAGGACTTACTCCCGTGGCACTATGAACTGCGTTGTTGTATAGGCTGGCGATGAGAGCAAGCTTCTCATCCCAGTCCAGTTGATTAAATTAATGTAGTGCCCTAGCAAGTGTTGAACAACGCGGTTCATTTGCTCTGCCTATCCGTTTGCCTTTGGATGGTTTCAAGATGTCATCTGCAGCTGCGTTCCTTGTTCAGCAGCTGCGGCCTTCCACAGTTCACTGGTGAATCGGACATCCCTGTCGCTGATTATAGACTTCGGCAGGCCAAAGTCTCTGACCCAGTTTTCCTTAAATAGCTTGATAACGTACTCGGTCTTTGCTGTTTCCGGCGTGGCCACTAACCTAGCATACCTACTAAATCTATCCACGATGACGTAGATGTACCTCATGCCACTCTTGTTGGTGACTAGCGTATCCATGAAGTCCATGGACAGGCTTTCACCAGGCCTTTCCGGAATGGGAAGGGGCTTGAGCAGCCCAAGAGGAGCCTGTGTCCGGGGCTTGTCACGTTGATAAACTTGACAAGTCTCGACATACAGTTTGGAATCTCTCATCATTGTGGGCCACCAGAACCGCTGCAACAGATTGGCTGGAGTCTTCTTGAAACCAAAATGTCCCGTGGCATTGTGACTCTCACCTAAAAATAAACTACGCAAAGACTTTCTGTTAGGAACACACATTTATTCCCGGCCTTCTCAAGGAACAGCAAGCCGTTGACCAACTGAAACTCTGCAGAAGTCACCTTGTCCTTCGCCTCGAGCCTGCATATGATCTCGAACATGAACTGGTCCTCGCGATAGGCTTCCACCAAAGAGCGAGTGACATCGTCCGCAAGCCCAAACTCAGTGATCTGCGCACCGGAGAAGTCTGGCCTACGCGACAGCGTGTCAACAACTTTGTTGTACTCATCTTTGAGGTACTGGGGCTCGAAGTCATACTGCTCAATGACTTTGATCCATCGTTTCAGCGCATCGGAGAGCACAGGCTGAGTTCTCATCCACTTCAGGGTCTGATGATCAGTCCCGACGATGAAGAACCTCCCAAGCTGCGTAGCATGCTCTTCGCGTTCGATCGCCGAACGCGAACGGGTCGGAAAACCGTTCGAATGCGGGCGTATCTTTTTTTTTTTTTTCCCTAATATATATATGAGTTTGGGGGGTTTGGTGGGGGAACGAGAAGAAGAAGAAGAAGAAGAAGAAGAAGAAGAAGAAGAAGAAGAAGATAGGGAGGAGGAGGAGGTGGAGGAGGAGGAGGAGGTGGAGGAGGAGGAGGATGAGGAGGAGGATGAGGATGAGGAGGAGGAGGAGGAGGAGAGTTGGGCGACGACGACGACGATGTCAAAGAAGAAGAAGAAGAGGAAGAAGAAGAAGAGGAGGAGGAGGGGGAGGAGGAGGAGGAGGGTTGCGCGACGACGACGTCAAAGAAGAAGAAGAAGAAGAAGATTAGGAGGAGGACGGCGACGGTGGCGAGGCCGTAGAAGAGGGGTGTTTGGCTTTTTATTTTTGTCAGTTTTTTTTTTCTCTTTCAATCAATCAATCAATCAATCAATCAATTAATCAATCAATCGATTCAATCAATGAATCGATTCGATTCATTGATTGAATCGAGTCTTGATGTTGATTCGATCCGTTCAGTCAACGAACGAATCGAATCAACATCAAGACTCAATTCGATCAACGAATCGAATCGATTCATTGATTGAACCGATTCATTGATTGATTGATTGATTGATTGATTGATTGATTGATTGATTGATTGATTGATTGAGGAGGAGGAGGAGGGTAGCGGAGGAGGCGGAGGGGAGGGCGACACCGGGGGGAAGTCGGGATCTGGATAGGGAGGAGGAGGAGGAGGAGGAGGAGGAGGAGGAGGGTTCGACAAGGACGTCAAAGAAGAAGAAGAAGAAGAAGAAGAAGAAGAAGAAGAAGAAGATGAGGAGGACGGCGAGGGTGGCGAGGCCGTAGAAGAGGGCTATTTGGCTTTTTTTTTTTGTCTGTTTTTTTTTTCTTCAATCAATCAATCAATCAATCAATCAATCAATCAATCGATTCAATCAATGAATCGATTCGATTCGTTGATTGAATAAAATCTTGATCTTGATTCGATTCGAGATCAAGATTCTATTCAATCAACGAATTGAATTTGATTGATTGATTGATTGA